TCCTGCGCTAATATGGTCACCGACACGTCGAATGTCGTGCCTTCATGATGTTGAACCCGATGGGCTCCAAGCGGGGTATAGGCTCGCGACCTACTAAGTCCCTCCAGATGTTCTTTGACCCGCACACGGAGAGGACGTCCTGTTTCCCCTATATACTCGCTGCCACAGCTTTGGCAGTGTATCAAGTAGATGACTGCAGACTTCATGCAATCACCCTGCTTGCCAAAGGGGCAAACGACACATTCTGGAGTGTCACACAATGTGTCGTACAGGCGGTTGCGAACCAGAAGACGTTGAAGGTTAGATGGGGGTATTTCCACAATCCTAACTTCGTTTTGCAGATCACACCTGTGTTGTAGTGATCGAACTGCCTTACTCACTTGATCGGAAATGAAAGAAATGAAAGGCAGGCAAAAAACAACTTTATTAGGCATCGATTGATGCTGTCGATTAGCGACATGTGGAATACCCCTTCGCGCCACCCCAGAGCAAGGATACCCACTGGATAAGGCAATGCCCTGAGCGATGTTCAGGGATTCTCTTTTCAACTCCCTATCAGACGAAACCTTACTGGCGACCCTGTACATGTTGCTTACTACAGCTTGCTTGGTTTTAATCGGGTGAGCCTAGGAATAATGAACCAAATGTTCTTACTGCTCGGCTTTCGATACCATTTGGTCCTGACTGCCCCACTTAGTAGCTGGACTTGAACATTGAGGAACGGCAGCCAATTCTTGACGGGTTTTTCCCGTGTAAATTTGATGTTATTCGACTGCTCATTTAAGGCACATTCCGCGATAAAATAAGCTATGACCTCTCAAATGCGTCGGACGATCCGGAAGCCGTTTTTTGAGGCTGCGCCTACTTTCAAAATGTGAAAAACGGCAAGACTCCGGCTTAGAAGCTGACTAATTAGGCCCATGGACACCCCTTAGGCCCATGCCGACCCTCACCGGCTGCTAGCTACTAGCTAGTAGCCACTATGTTATCTTTCTCTATAACATTTCGGACTGCTTTTTCTACTGCTTTTCTCCGCTAATCAGCGATACTTAGCCACTTTTTGTGCTATTTGCGAGTTCCGTTTTTCGCACTGGGGTCGCGAAACTGTATGCCTTTAATAGTCGAAACAGACATCCATTTCGTTTTGAGTTGAACATATAATGAGACAGTCATCGATGTATCGATGGTATAGAATTGGTCTGCGGTCTAGCACGGGTTCCTCGACTTTGGACATGAAGAGAGGGGCTAGCCGCTGTCCCATAGCAAGGCCTCTCAGCTGTTTGTAATAATCACCCGCCCATCTGAAAATAGAGCATGCTAGGCACTCCTTTAAGACTGTCATTACTTGTGAGATCGTGAACCCATAAAAGATTGAGGGAGGATTCGTGCTCACGAAGCAACTCGTAAGTGGCCTCCAGTGCCGCGTCATTCGATACATTGGTATACAATGATGTCACGTCAAATGATTCTATGACGCTATCTCCTCGAGGGTTGGCACTGGTAAGTTTATCTAGTAGCATGCTCGTATTCGTTAAGTGGGCGGGCACGTACTGAAGAAGCTGTCCAAGGATCAAGTTAAGGAACCATGATATTTTGTCAATAGGTCCCCAATGTTGCTAATTATGGGGCGGACTTTGAATGTGCCAGGATCATTCGAACCGAAATCAGACAAAGCAAGCTTGTGGGTCTTAATCAGTAAGTACAACACGAGGACAGATCGGCAGGTCATACTTGAGCCGATTGATTGTGGTGTTCGGTATGGCCGCGTTCATACAGACGAGCCATTCCGCGGCATCCGTGGCCTCCGCGGCGGCGCGGCCTCCGCGCGAGCCACGGATGCCGCGGCGATGCTTCGCCTTGGCCAGCGAGCCTCCGCGCGCCTCCGCGGAGGCGCGGCCAAGACGCTGCGAAGCGTATGGCTCGCAGCACTCTTGATGGGGGACGATGGAGGCAATCAATACCTTGAAAAATGGGTTTCAGCTGATCTGGTTCAACTGGTCCCAACAAATGGGAACTCAACTGCAGCAAAATTTCGCCCTTGGGGTGTCCCTTTTTAACACATTGGCGACAAGGCGCCATTTCGCGTGTCTGCCGCGTGGGACAAAGCAGTTTTTCCCTATTTTCGAAGAATGCGCATAAATGCTAGGGCGTTTATACGCCAAAAAATTGAAGAATGGTCAGAAATTCATTGCAGAAGCTGGTAAGGCTTCGCTATTTCGTTTACTTTCAAGATAAACCCTAAAATTTCATGAAATACTCTCGCCTCATTCAGGTGGAGCGCGGGGAAAAAGGTCGCAAAAAAGGAATATCTTTCGCGGCATGAGGGTTAATGCTCGGCGGTGGCTGATGGGCGCTGGAGGTGCGGCGGGGGTGTAAATTAAACATTGAATTCGATTCAAGATGTGCTATTGTTTGAAAGTTACCTTATCACATTAGCTATCTGCATGTGGAATTTCCAAATGTGTCTTTTTTTGTGTCTTCAATTACAGCATGATTATCAAGTTCCGAATAAGTTTCGGCGCTCCCAACAAGAGCCGCGACCCGCGTACGCCTTTCGCGGCTTGCCGCAGAGGCCCGGCCTCTGCGGAAATTTTCCAAATCGATAACTTTGTTGCTCCCGAAACATTCCGCCAGAGGCACTGGAGCCGCGGAGGCCGCGGGAGGCTGGCGGACGGCCACGCCTCCGCGGCCTCTGCGGAATTTCCAAATCGATACGTATACTTTGCTTGCTCTGAAAATTCCGCAGAGGCCACGGATGCCGCGGATGCCGTCTGTATGAACGCGGCCTATGCCTCGCCACCTTCGCCACACTACACCAAGTCCTGTTAAGTTTACGATATTGTTTGTTGTACTCCTTTTCCGACGATCTGCCATATAAGGTCTCATCTTGAAGGTGCCGTTTCGTTATTGCCTTATCGAGTTCTTGCGGTAAAACCACAAATTCCCCACCTTTGTCGCTAATCGACAAACGTATTCTGCCAGCCTTCACGCCGTCACGTATTTCTTTGAAACCTCGCATTTGTGATGGCGTAAGGTTGGGAATGGTTCGCTTCCCAGCATGCTGCCGCACTATTCTGAAAACTGAGGTGGCAAACATGCGGAACTTAGTGTCTACAGTACTGTTGGGCTCTTGTGGTTTATAAAAATTGCTAGGAAAAGGCAGTGCAGGAAACTTTCGAGTTATCCTCCACGCCCCCACCCGCTGTTCAACATTAGCTCTATATCGGAGGCGATCGTGAAGTGTTTGCAGATTACCCACGATCTTGCGTGAGACACTGGGAGTCATGGACTGCGTGAGAGCAAAACTTGGACCCATTTCCAGCAACTGAAGCGCATCGTAGGAGAGAGTGATGTTGCCTAAAACGGTGACCCGCGTTTTTGTTGGTTGCTCCACATTACTAGTGCCCTCATTATTGGTCATAGTGTTTGAGTTACCAGGTGAGACCGCTCGTGATATGTGATATCGTTGTTGCTCTACCAACCTATTGAACTTTTCTTGTAGTCTTGTCTTAGCCCTAGAGCGAACAGAATCACAAATGCTTTTTTGACTCACCCACGATTCTCTTCCAAAGGCGCTCCGGCACGAACCGTTCACAATACCGCAAACTTCTTCAAACACGTATATAACTGATCACGTTTCGTCTTCAGTGCCGCTTTGAGAAGTTGTTGTTCGATTGCTCGTATTCTCTGAGAGTCCCTCGGAAGTCCGCACATCTCACTCAACCGCTTGTTTCTGATGAAGTTTGGCGTGACACGGTGGCGTAGACAGCGAATGAGAAAATGGGTGGTCTGTCTCAAGGCGACGATCTTCTGTCGCAACGATAATGCTTCTTTAACAAGTCGGAAGTTCTCGGCTGGTACAAGTTTCAGAATAGTCCACGTGCGACTTTCTTGCAATCTTGGCATGCTAGATATCCTTTTCGTATGTCTTCAAGCCTGTACAAGATTGGATGGCTTTATTACTAGGCCTACGTTTCGGCGTCTTCGCCTTCGTCTGAGCCTGAAATGGACAAAAAACAGATGTAACTTGCCCGCTCAAGCGCCTAAACAATCTCAAGACAATTTCCCTAGACTAGTAAAGCACCCAACGATATCAATCAATAGTATTATGGCTCACCTGATCAGCCGCCGCTATGCGGGGTCGACCACCCTGAGGAACACTTAATCGAGAAGTAACCAGTACTATTCACCCTCCTCGACCTCACGGTAGATCAAAACTTGCAAAGGTCGAGGAAGGGCGCCAGCTCACGCGTTATGGCCACACACTCTCCCTTTCTATTCATCTGAGGGTCCTTTGCCGTAATCCAGAATGCCTCCAATGTCTTACGCGCTGTGATCTCGGCCTCCTGCGCTAATATGGTCACCGACACGTCGAATGTCGTGCCTTCATGATGTTGAACCCGATGGGCTCCAAGCGGGGTATAGGCTCGCGACCTACTAAGTCCCTCCAGATGTTCTTTGACCCGCACACGGAGAGGACGTCCTGTTTCCCCTATATACTCGCTGCCACAGCTTTGGCAGTGTATCAAGTAGATGACTGCAGACTTCATGCAATCACCCTGCTTGCCAAAGGGGCAAACGACACATTCTGGAGTGTCACACAATGTGTCGTACAGGCGGTTGCGAACAGAAAGGTAATAAAGCCATCCAATCTTGTACAGGCTTGAAGACATACGAAAAGGCTTATTAGTGTCTTCATTTTATGAATTATGCACTCTTGCCTTCAAGATCTATCGAGGAGGCCTACCTTTCCATTTCTTCTGCTATCTTGGCCCTTCTGTCTTAATCTCTTTTCTGCAGCACCCTTGCATTGTTAGGATCCTGTAGTGAATAAAAGGTTACAAATATGAAGGAGCATGATGGCAAAATGAAGGTTCAACCACTTCTAGTCGCTTAAGAGCTGTCTGCGTTTCGTAATTGAGTTTCCGGAAGGCGTCGAGCAGGCTTAGGGCGGGTGGTCAACATCTATAAGGAACCCAAGCCACCTAAAACTTGTCTAATTACGTACTCAGACGGGCGTAATCATAAACTGTTTCACCTATGAACGCTTCTGCTATATTTGTATAGCGCAGATCTTCTAGTTTCCATTTACACCACATATCCTTGAACGTGCCTTGAAGCCAATCCGCGTCAAAGTAGCTCAAGAGGCCTTCACATGTTTCATATGCGGCGTGTCCCGTTGGTACTGGAGGAGCTTGCAGGGCTTTCACTCGTGGGATTAAAACACGAGATAGAGACACTACACCTACGAAAAGGGAATACTTCTTCAATTCACTGAAGTTTTCTAAATTATATAAGCTTTTACAGCTTTTATGGTGTCCCACCACTCTGCAACTCGATCGTCTCGTTCTAGTCACTGAGTAAACTTCTTGAGCCCGAGATCATTCCTTTTGCGATTCCAGGCTTGCGCAATATGAAACGCGCAGCCCTCTATGGATGCTTCCGGAAGTTGTCCCGTGCAGCTGAGATAGCTGCTTTTTCGAAATCCAAAATCAGCGTCGTGGTACATCACCATGATGCTTGCCTTCACATGGTCGAAGATTTTGGTGTAGACCTTCTGCGTTTTCTTCGATGTTATGCAATAAAGAAGGGGTACTTCTATGCTCAGAGAACACACTCCATGCACACAGTAAAGCTCCGCGTTGTAGCCAAGCGACTTGGCTTGAAGGGAATGCATCCCACCTGCTATAATGGCGTGAAGACCTGCTTCACACGCCTTCTGAAAGAAATACGAATTCGGATGAAAGCTATAAGTTATGCGACATGAAGTTCTCACTGAACTTGCCACAGAGTAATATATATGAAACCCCGGAGTATGAAAGCTGAAGGAAAGAGGAAGCCGTCACGGAGAGTGCGGTACTCCAGAGGAACGTGATCCATGGTGTCGGACTTGACTGCCCACATTCTTACGCTCCTTAAGTGGCAATAAGTTAACAGCAGCAGTTAGCAGAACTGATACGGAGAGAATGAAGGATACGTACATAGTTATAATTTGTCTACGAGCCTTATACCCAGAACGACGGATTGCGGGCCCCTGATAGGGTCTAGAAAGAGAGAAAGTGTCGCGCTCAAAATAATGGAGAAACTCAAGCATTACCATTAAACAATGAACGCCACAGCAACCATCCATGCTTTTGCTCTTGTACGCTGGGTAGAAAAGGAATGAGCGTGTCGAATTCTGTGAATCAACACGTCGTTCTTTCCTCTTTTGCTTACCTGTCTTTCGCCAATATATCGACAAACATCTTGCTACTCTGTAGTACAATTAGAAGCGGAGGCAGCTAAGGTACCTGAAAGAACCTTCATTGCAGATTTGGGATGGCTTGCAGGTGCGTGGGGTGCCTGTAGTGAGGGAAGGGGCGTAACAGAGGTAACAGAGGTTGCTGCTCTGGGTGCTGGTACTGTTGAAGAAGATATCGGTGGTAAAACTGAAGACATATATAATGAAGGAATATAATGAAGGAGCGGATCCATACAGTGTGCTGCAGTAACGTCTGTAAAAGGTGCGTCTGTAAAAGCAAAATTTGTAGGAGACGGAGTAGGCTGATACAAAAAGGAAGGAATGCTGAACGACTGATCAGGTCCTTGTGTAGCCGTGGTGTCGAACGTCAAGGCCATGTACAATGATGAATCATCCAGTTGTGAAGTGTTGCCGTGTGGGGTAAGCGGCTGGGGAGTGTTGACATGATAGTTATCATACATGGACGGACTAGGTCCTCGTGGAAAAGTATGGTCGAGAAAGTCCGGATAGAGAAAGTCGCCGTAATAACCTGAAATCATAACTAGACGAAGTGGCCATCTTCGAGGCTAGATCGAAACAAAGGTGAAGGAGAAGAGTCTTCTTGAATTGCCGAGCTCAGCGAGGGCGACATAAGCTGCTACCAGCAAACGAGCGCCCCCAGTGGAAAGCTGTCTCGACCATTACTTGCTTCGACTCTGTAAAGTTACTAGAGTTTTTCTTTCATACCATAAACCATGAATGTAGGCAAGTAAAGCATATATACATGCCGAACAGACAGTTATTGTGATCGACGTCAAGGCACATTGCAACTATAAGACACATACATATTCGATGGAAAGATGCACTACATGGCAACAACAGAGAGCAAAAGTGAAGGTAACACGACGAAGCAGGTCTTTTTTAAGGATGAGGGCTTCCTTAGAAGAGGGCAGCGCATGTATGATGCATTTCCTGAACAATACGACGCCCATAATTCATCCATCGCCCTCATGCACCTCCCACTGTAGCTACACTTTCTTAGATTTTCTGCAACTTCTCTCCTTTTTTTCATTTTCCGCCATTTTTCGCATTTTTTCCCGTGAAAAAATTGCCAGTTTTTCGAGCCAAAAATTTTCCATCGACGGCGAGCCAGAGCGGGGTTGAGAGGGTGATACCCCATTGTGGAAACAGTAAAACTTCAGAGTTTTTTCCCGCTTCATCCACGTTTGTCTAAAGTTCCCGAAAAAATTTCTTGGCTTTTTCAAATTTTTGGTAGTCGAGCGGGGGGGGCGAGGTCTTCAGGATTTAACTACTATTTTCAACTATTTGTAGTTGTATAACATCTTTGGCAGTCCCTCTCCCAACACGACCAAATGAGACCTCCCCTCCACGGTCATAGCGCCCCCTTTTGTGCTCATCACAAGATGGCGTGCGCTGGCTTAGAAAGAGGTGAAGGCAGCCGTCCTCGTGCCTGTGCAGCGGGTGCCTTCCCGGATTCGACGAAGTTGTTGATCCGTCCCTGAAAACGCATGGAGGTCACCAGTAGACGCGCAGTGAACAACCGCGGCTACACTCCTTTTTCCGCTAAGACTGGACAGAATCCGCATCTGCCAAGCGCATGATTGTTTTTCTTGACACCTCCCAGGCTTAATGACGTCCAGCCCATGCGAAAAACCGAAGAAATGGCGTGGAAACAAAGCCTGGGACGTTCTTCTTTGTTTCAAAAAACTTTTGTGCAAAATTGCGACTACCTCTACCCGACGGGCTATTGCACTGAGATGTATAACAGTGTTGCGAAAACCGCACCAAACCATATCAGTAGTTTCTTTCTAGTTCTACGGTTCAAGTATTAGGTGAACAACTAGCCGGATACTTTTTCTACGTGTTCAAGTAATTCATAACAGAATAGCGGCACATTCATTACCATCTCAATCTTTGCTTGCTTCATGGCGGTTACTGTACTCGTCGGTGCACCCTTTAACCATGAAAGCTCATTTTGCTGAATTAAGAAAGTAAGGCATTTTATTGTTGCAGCTTTGGGTGTTTGGTGTGCTACTAATTGATTTTTGCCCACACAGCGTTGGGCAGCGAACAAAACAATGCCCAAATAAACCTATCCTTTTGAGAAATGAGGAGGTTAGCTGTCCGAATAATTGTAGCTTTTTATGGGGCTGAACATCAAGAAAACTTCACAATACTTGTATCAGTTCGTAAATGTTGGTAGTCGAGTTGTGTAGAGGCTTGTTGAGTCTATTCTCTGCTGTCGTTTAATCAGTGTTGTCCGACTCAGCTCCCTATTTTGAAACATGATTTTAGCAAGCAGAGGAAATAACTTGTCCCTCTTTTTATTGGCGCCATTCTTTCGTACAGATGCGGCTGTGTGCCATTGCGTACACTGCGGGGCTACAGTAACCTTACGCCCAGTTTTATTCAATGTCGAGGAGAGACTTCGTGGAAGATGCGTCTATATTCGAGCGGAGGGGGATCAGATTTTCAGATAGCTTCCCCTTCGTCACCATTCCCCAACAGGTCAAAGCACAAAGGGCCACGATAGCGGACTCTATGTGTTATTCTGTTAATATATGTGAAAAGATAGCGGATGTGATAATACGTGTACATACTGCGATTGCGCCATAGTCCATGATTGATTGCAGCTGCTTATTTTTGTGGAGCAGACTGGAATAAGAGAGACTCTTCATGATACATGCATAATGAACAATTTCGAGTTACGAAAGTCAGGGGCGCAAACAATGAGAAGCCCTGCAAGTCTGCCGAGGGGACTGGTCACCATCACACGGAAACGGTGTATCTCTTCTTGGGAACGGTAAACATGTCCTGTAAAGTTACTGTGGTTTTTTACTACCGTTCTGCTCGACTCACTTCCTAGACCAGCGATTTGACGAGTGCCAGACTTTTATGATTTCGGCGAGAGGCGAAAGCGTGCGGCTTTATAAAGCGGAGTTTGCCACGCTCCCCAAACAATATGGAGCGTGGAGAAACCGTGGGAGCATCCTTGGGTTGGGAGTACTGAATGTTCACTCATAACTCTATGGTTTACTACATTTTTATGTAACTTTTTTTCAAGGGACCTCTATAGAGGGAACACTGTTATGCTTGGAAGAATTAGTTTACTAAGATTTTACTTGCTTCCCTTATTTTTTTTACTTCGTAATGCGTTTGGTCCCTTCATACGTATGTGAATTACGCGAATTTGGAGAAACCATGGGACTACTTTATGCGTATGTAAATTAGAGGTTTTCGGTCGATGATATCGTTCCTTCCTCGAAAATGCCCACGAGGCTACTGCACAGGAAGAGTCTAGGACTAAAAGATACTCATAGATGTCACACTTTAATATAATCACCAAAACTCAATAAGGTGCTACGTCCCCAACGAACAATGGAACTAGGTGCGAGGTTACTGTAGCTCCGCAAAGTTCGCAACGGCACACAGCCGCATCTGTACGAAAGAATGGCGCCCTTTTCAGTGCTTAATATTTAGGTTTTAGGATCTGTGGAAGTTATTTCTTCATGCCTATGAGCGCTTTCGCGAATCTCATGCACTATCGTCACTGCTACCGGTTTGGGGGGGAGGGGGAATTGGGCCGTGCCCCTGTCCATTCGTCAAAAACCTTAGGCATGGAGCACAGACAACCTGGGGAGGTATGTTCTCAACGGGTCTTAACCGAGCATTCGAAGGGTGGGAAACAACAGGGAAGAGCTGAGAGAGAAGAAAGGAAGGAAAGGAAAAAAGGAAGAAGAAGCAAGAATGAGAGATGAAAGGCCTGGTGGTTGGTAGATACTGTAAGCAGGGGCACAGCAAGTTGGTTGGGGATTCCCTATGGGGGGGGGTCGTATTTGGCCGCCAAAAGGGGGGGGTCGTATTTGGGCTGGGAAAAATTTATTTTTATAGTTGATTTTTCTCTCGCTTTGCGCGACTTTTTTGGAGGGGGGGGTCGTATTCTGAGTTAGGATATGACTGCGTTTACAGATGTACGTCGCACGCCTACTACATTACCGCCGCCCCCCCCGCCCCCGCTCGACAACTTTTTTCGCCGAGTAATAAAACCACAAACCACAGTCAAGCCATGTACAGCGCATCGGTAAGGAGGAGCATGGGGGGGGTGTCGTACAGCCTGAAAAAAGGGGGGTGCGTAAAAGCTCGATCCAAATTATCCCCATCGATATCTGTGCCCTGACTGGTAAGGCTCACGTAAGTCACGCAAAGAAGACATAGACCTCTGCTCAGCCTACACCGTTTCAGGTTTAGCTTCGCGATCACGCGACCGGGTCGCCGTTAAGTGGATCGCACGACACTTTCTTTTTTGTCCGACTGGGCCTATCGTAATTTGAGTTATGCGCGTTGCCGCGGGGACGTTCAAGAGAATTGTAATACTCCGCTCCACGCCGCGGCCGGGCGATGTTCGCGGCGTTTTCTTAATTCGTGTTAGCCTTCCAATGGACCAACACACTGCACGTTGGCTGCGAAACTGCAGACATTTGTGGCTATTTCTTTGTTTAGCATTGGACTGTTTGACGCTATCAAATACCTGATAACTGTGCGGTCATTGATGACACGGACGCCTATTCGGCGCAGCCGAATCACTGTTGTCACGTACCTGTTGCCCTGACGAACTTTTTAAGCGATGGAGCGCGCCCGTGGCGTTATACTCGCTCATCATTTACCGATCTGTCGGGGCGGTCAGTGCGGCTGCGTTTTCCGCGGTTCCAAAGTCTTTCTGCACCAGTTGTTGAAGCGATCAAATGACATAACAGCATTATATCCTTCGTATTACTCGTTTTCTACCACTTTTTGTCGCATACGCGCTTCAAAGAAAAGGCTGAGAACGGCTTCAAACAGTGTGCGCACTCCTTCTGGCCGATACGCCCCGACAGTCCGTAATGATGAGGAGTGTATCTCATGATCAAATCGCGTGATCCAATCGAGCTATTCAATCGCGCGATCACCGAGCGATTGCGAAGTCTGAACGCGGTCTAAACCTTGGTTATGGGTAGTAACACAGAGACGCTGCCTTGTCGCCTTCCCGCAATTACATTCGCGTCGCATAGTCTATGCCCTGATGCTCCCTGGACATTAATATGTGCACCTGATCCACTGTGCCTGAATTAATGGGATTTTCCTCTTTATCGCCGAGTTTTTCGTTTTATTGATCAATCGCTTATCTCTATCTGTGAGCATTGTCGCGTGGAAGTTGCTATAAAAGAAAGCCAGAGGATAACTAGGGCCGCGTACCTTGCAACACTGGAGAATTTGTAGAATCCGCGAAAAGGTAGGTATACGTACTGCTCTGAAGAGTCGGAGAATTAGAGAAACAGCGAATCGGAAAAAGTGTGAGAAAGACTGAATACGTAACGGTCACCTTCCACAGAAACTCCGAGTACTGGATCCCTTGGAGATCAATCTGTACGTATCTGACCTTTTCAGTTCTTTACGGTTTCCTGTTTTGCAATTCTCACAGGATATGAGTGCTTACCCTTAGGCGGTTTCACTATTCTCCCGATTCAGCGATCCGCCACTTCTCGGCATTCCTGTTGTCGCAAAGTGTGAACACTGTCTGACATAGCATTCCGCTACCCTTGCAGTAAGTGGCAGTGTTTCAGTAACTTGTTGCATTTGAGGAGGGGGCGGGTAGAAAGGTTGTGAGAGAGGAGATGATGGATTTTCCCTAAGCCTAAGGGCAAGGAGCTCCGGCGTGGGTGGGCGAACTGTTGGGTTCTGGGCAACTTAGACCGCGTTCAGACTGTGACTAATGTAGCACGTCTGAAGGGGGAATCAAGAAAATTACGTCCGTCAAACATGAGCCCCCACCCCCCACCCTCCACAGCGTCCATAATACGACCCCCTGCCTATGTGGACTCCACATGCGGCAATAGTCTTCCGAATAATTGTGCAAACCAATAGACTCCAGGAGGAAAGATTACATTACTTCAGCGTCGGTACTACTGCTTTGAGAGTAGCACGTGAGACTCCCGGCCACAGCACCCCTCATGGCCGCTTGGAAAATAACACCAGCACGTGGACAGAGTCTAGTGCGAGTACGGGCTGGGCGAGTTTTGAAAGAAAAATGATGAAATGAACTGTATTTGTCTCGTTCCTTGCAGCGCAGCAACGCTCGGCTCTTATCAAGGTTCCATGGCAGACTGACCGCTTATCAGGTCACCTGCTACCTCTTTTTGTTTCACTCGTTGTGTGGAGCGTTAATAATTCCCATTATAACTCAGAAATTTTTCAGGGAATAAATCATTCCTGTTTTCTAAATCTCTACTCGTCAATGTAATTTTTTCCTCGATAAAACTCAACTGTCCGAAAGCGGATTTTCATAATGGTGGCTCAAGTGCAAAGCTTGGGAGGTGAGTCTTTTGTGAACTTGTGGTGTTTTTATTCAGTTCCCCCACGCAACAAGGGACATCCATTGATGGTGATCGATTCCTTGTTGCATGGGAATCGTTTTGGATGGTGCGAAAATGCTTTCGCGTATAGCGAAATAGTGTGAATATTTTGTGGTGATGGAATTCATTGTCAATTCCTTCCACCTTGATTGGTGGAAGCGCCGATCAGTCTATGGATTTTCGATCGAAAAACTGCTTTATAGACTTGATCTCCTCGTTGCTAGACTGTTCCTCGTCATATTCTAATTGCGATCAGGTGAAAAATGAGGTGTGTTCTGCTTTCGTTTTTTTTTCTTTTTGCATTAATAGTTAAGGCCACTTTCATACTTTGCGACTGAAGAGACCCGGCGATTTGGGCCATAGCGACTGGCACCGATCGATAACCATCTTTCCTTTTAACGCGCAATCCCCGAAACTCCGAATCACCCTAAATGCCGAATCGTCGACTCGCTCCGTCGTCTGATCCACACCTATACTTTCTTCGTTGCGCAATCTCTTGAATCGCCAAGTCTCCCAAATCGGAGTCTCCTCCTATTGCCTACAGCGTCCGCTCCAAGGCGGTGTCGACGACGCGACGGTCGCTGGCGATTATTGCGCATTCTTTGGTGATCCACGGCTTGCCAGTAAACGAATTAGAGCGCCGAAACGGCCCGCTCGCTGAGCGGGACTTGAATTGAAGATCAGTTAGTTGTTTCAAAGTTGCATGCCTTTCGCAATTGCGCTTCAATAAGAAGAACGTGAATTGAAGAATGCAGCTTTGCCAGTTTTTCAGAGAGGATCCCTAAAACACAACGCAAGCGCATTTGAACGAGGACAGAAAGCATTTGCAGGTAGTAACCGGTAAGAGGTAACACATGAAAATTATGCAGGAAGAGCGTCATGCAGTGACACGAGGACGTATCTGCTATATGGGTGCTACTCAACTATTATTACCTGAGAACTCGAAAAAAAGGACTGCTGGAACTTTGCCTATACGCATTACCCGATGCCCTGATCAGAAGTACGACATTAGCTTTCAATGCGCGCAAAGCGCCATTAGCCGCCGACTTATCACCAACAAACTTTTCCTTAACCAATCAGCGATGTAAACGTTGTTTACGCAGGGGTAATCGGATGCCCTGATCAAACGAATATGACATTTACTTTTAAGACTCTGAACGCGTCATATTGCCGCTAACACCCTTTTCACTTAAAATTGATTGAAAATCGCGTAATGGGTTTCTCGTTGTTCACCAAAATTGGCGATTCACTGTTTCCGATTCAGCGCTCAGACGACCGAGCATAGACGACCGTAGAATGCTGTATTAGTGCCTGCACCAGGAATGAATGTCATGTTCATGATCAAGATCTCAAATAGCCTGCAAGTTTTTGGATTTTGGTGATCGAGAGCGTTTTTGCGCCGGCGCCTGTGATGCGGGCACAGTTTTTCGGGCTGCAATTAGAAACAAAGAGAAATCAGTATATGGCAAAGGGATATCACTCCAAAACACAGATGATCCTCGTTTCGCTCGTATGCTTAATTTTTAGTATGTGTTCAGGAATGAACAAGCGGATGTGGATATGTTCAGGGGTCACAATAGCGCATTAGATTAGCGCATTTTGGCGCTGGCGCCCATGGAGCAGCGCTAGTCAGAGCTAGGGTACGGATTCCACACTTGAGTGGTGGTCGAAGTACCCATGGAAACAAATTCTTGGGCCGACCTATTTTTCTGCCGCTCGTCAGGGAAAAGGTAAAAACTGGGCCCAGGTGCCCTGAAGATTGTAATTATTGTAACATAGTGGCGCCACACCATGAAAACATCATGAAATCACTTGGAAAGCAAGACTAACTGCTTTCAGTTCACATCATTTTCATTTGAATTGTGCTTGCGATGTGTATGGAACTCTAAAACTGGCTAACTGCTCTTCATTCATGTTCTTCTCATGATCAAAACGCATTGGCGAAAAGTATGCAACCTTCGAACAGACTAATCTGATGTTACTCACGTCCCGCTTAACGGAGGTTCGCAGCTCAATAATCAGCTAAATTGGAAGCGGTGAGTCACTCAAAGAATGGCAAATGCCAAGGAGCGCCGCCGGTTGATGAGCGCGTTTGCGCCGGACCGCTTGTAGGAAATAGATGCGACCCCAAATTGTCGAGTCTCCTCAGCGTGTATGAACGCGGTCCAAACTAAATGAGCCCGTGACCCTTTGGTATTATTCAACTATTCCCTGCCCACAAAAACTCGAAATAAAATTTCATGAATCCTTGCATATACGGGTTATTCGAAACTGACATTTTTTGAAGCGGGCGCAATTTGGCAACACTACATTTTTTCATCAAAATCGGTGTCAACTTGCATATTGAGGTTTTTTGGTACCGTGATCAGGAATATGGTATTTATTTTCGGCCCCTTGTGCCCCATATCGGCGCCACACCATTTCTAAAGGTCGATGAAAACGTACATTATAGGGCTGTTTAGCCTTCATCACAAATATGGCGCTCATTCTTCAACACCAGTGCTAACTAACGCTCTGCGAGGGCTAAGCCTGGGAGAAGTAGTGTATCCCTTCAGGGTATTTTGGCGGCGGCGCCTGTGGCGCAAGCGCCAGGCGTTCCGGGCCAAGTAGATCTGATACTCATGTTCAGAAGGTCATACTCTTCCTAGAGACTAGTTTTTAAGGGCTTTGGTGATTAAGGGCATGTTGGCGCCAGTTTCCAGGAGGTTTCAAGCTTTGCGGATGTGATACTCTTGTTCAGCAGTTCGAACTACCTTAAAGACAAATTTCCAGCCAAATCTGCTCGCTTAGAAATAAGTCGGTAAAAATTGAATATGGCTTGGAATCCGAGCTCGTATTGGTTGAATAATATCAGCTCCCTTCTCTGTTTTTTTTTTTCTATCCTGCAAAATGTGAGATCTCTTCCAGGTTTCGATTCGCTGAAATCAATAGGCGCTCATCAGCCGAATACCTTACTCACAGCATGTCACCAATACTTGTTACAGAACCCTAAAGTAAGCTTTTCCTAATGTCCTGTTTTTTTTTGAACGTCCATGGCTATTTTTTCAACTTAGTTGTCCCCACCATCGAAAGCCTTTGTACTGAACGCGATCGACAGTGTGGTCTCCGACGGGAAAATTGTGAATGAACTGGATGAACAGTTAGTTCTACTCATAATCAACCTTGCCACACAGGAGATGACTATGACCAGCAAAGTAAGTTATATTGCTTTCTCGAAATCCATTTCCTGTTCCTTTTTTCCGATTAGCCTTTTCCTTCTAGGAGGCAGACGCAGAGTGGGCAGAATCAGCTAAGACTGTGCTGGTGACATTGGCGAAAAGCCCTCGTTTTGCGTCTCATGTGATGGACGCGATACTTCAGAAGTTTCAACCTGGATTGACTACAAGTCCTCACCGATATATTGTCTTAACAATGGCAACCATTGCAGAGCATAATCGTGAGCTTTTTTTTGTGAGCAATGTTTTCCCGTAAGGTCACATTGATGCATTGCTAAGAGTGCGTTCATACTTCGCTATCTGATCGCGCGGGCCATCCTACCGATTAGATCTCGCGCGATCAGACCGCCAAGCGTCAGCTCGCACAAATAAAAGTCTTCAATCTCGGAGAGTCTCTGTTTCTGGAAAATGCGTGCAAAGTAGGGTAAAACTATCGAACTTGGCAATTTTGACTTCATAGAATGCGCATGACGAAGCATCGGAAGAGAATCGTTTGACTGTAGTGCAATGTTCGAAACTGCGATTTTTTTTTTTTTTTCACATCAGGGTACAACATTAGGATAAGGGTACGGTGCCGTGAGGTTCAGCGATGGGTGGCAGTGTCAACACCTTCCTCCCAAATTTCCCCTCCGACCCCCTTCCGCCATCCTACCTATCATATTCCAATGTTTTTCCCACTTTCTTATTACTTTTTCGCCGTTTTCTAGGAAACAATTCTACTTTTCCTTCCACCCCTCCCTCCTAAAACGTCGGGAAGGGTAAAGGGATGGGGTGCGTTACACTCTTGACAAGGGAAATTACCGGAAAGTCAGTCCTCGAAAAACTTTCTTTGTGGCTCGGAAAACATTCTGGGCGCAGTTCGGCAGTGGGATGGGGGGGGCATTTTTGCTTTTTCGCTGCTTCTCTAGTTCCGATTCACAAGTCTCACTCTGGTGGAGCAAGGTCGTCGAGCTATCATGGCAAAACCTCTCAATTCTTGATATAGCTCACTAGATGGCTCGACACGTCGATGGAAGTGACAAAAGTGGGAAATTTCCTCCTCTCCACCCCTTTCGCCCAACTGCCCCAAATCCGTGAAAACAGAATGACGGCGCCTCAACAAACAAGTGGGACCCTCTGATGAGATTTTTCCTACGACGCTGTACACAGTTTCGCATGGCATGAACGCGAGCCAACGTTTCTTCATTCGATCATATGGTTTCAAAATTTTCTTTTTAGCATTCGGGCTTGTTCCATTTCTCACTGATATTTTATCCCGAACTGTGCCGTTGCTGAGCCACGTACGAAGCGATCCGCTTAGGTAACTTGATATTTTTTGTATTTCTCTCAAAATTTTTTGACATATTTTCTCTTTTAAGATCTGCCTGGGCACGAGCGATTTGTTCCTTCTGTGAGTGCATTCGTGAATGTGAAACGGAAAGACCTCAAGAAGCTGATGAAGGCGATGTCGAAAGTGAGTTTCCCGTGCCGAAGGTTTCCTGGAGTTACAAGTTTTGAGAGAGTCTTCTAAATGAAACTGATGGACTGAAATCTCTTTTCAGGTCGAGAACAAGATAATGATCGGCATATAGTACTGAGTCGACATACATATACAGATCAGGCTGAAGCCATCTATGAAGTGGTTTTTCAATGGATGTACAGCAAAGATGCAAAAGTAAGTTGTCCGAATACGTTAGGTATTGTTCACAGTCTGCGACCCAGCATTTCTCCAGGGAACAAGCGCTTTGGCGAAAAGCTTTCGATGCGTATCGGTTGGCGGTTGGGCGAAGAGTCTAGCGGTTGCGCGAAACGCTTTTGATACGTATCGACGGGCGGTTCGGCGGAGCGGTTGAGCGAAAACGCCAGCCCGAGCGCTCTGGCGTTTTTCTCTAGAGCGGAACCAGCGAAATCAATACAATATGAAATCAATAATATTGATTACTTCTCGCCGAACCGCTGTTTCGTCAGGGTCGTAGACTGTGAGCATTGCCTTAAGCTTTCATGTCGGGTAGTGACTCGATGCACTGAACATCATTTATTGTAGACCCGTGCCGAAGCTGGAGAATGTATTGGTGAATTATGTCTGATGATAAAACCGGAAAAGGTGGTAGAAGATCTCAAGAAGCTAGTAACTACGATTCTTGGCTTGTACAGGAAAGCTTATACGGAACAACATACAATCACGAAAGTAAGTTATCACTTGTCTTGCATAATTCTTTGGTTGTGCAGGTATCATGTTCGTTGGCTCTGGGAGGATGAAAATCGATTCATGCATAGTCCCTGTTCCTAGCAAGACCAGACAGCAAGTCGTTTAAAGGCCACGTCGCATTCAAGAGCCGCTGCGAGAGCTGAATAAAAGCACGGTCTTGCTTGCTAGATGATGTGGAAGTGTCAGGAGGAAGGATCTTGCCCGGCGCCAGTGTATCATATCCCTATTATCAGTCGTTTTCCACCAATCGCTTACCCACTTTAACAACTGGTGGAAAAACGGGCTCTCGGCGCGCCAAATCCAGCTGCAATTAAACCGCTCATTATCCATACCGAACAGGATTAGAATTCCTACCTGATCACGAAAGAGGACTGGTTAACGGCGGAACTACTCTCGGTCTACGGCGCCTTACTATATCCTTTAGAATAAGCCAGATGAACTTATGGCTCCAAACCTATTTACCTAACATTAGCAAGTGCATCCGTTGGAGCGTGCTCCATCGTTCCCGTTGCATGCCAGCTTGAAAACCTTTCCATTTTGAGGCGGTTTGCCGTTTTCTGGAAGCGACTTGCGCTAATGAGTCGTGCCCATTGGAACCTTACGTGGAGGATGTGTTGAACGCTCTGTTCCCGAATGCATGCCTCGATCCAGATGATTCCACTGTGACACTGAATCCGGCCGCTATCAAAAAATCATAGCGAGGCATTCAGGTGTTTTCACGTTGCAGGTATGTTCTGCAGCCACTTTTTTCACAGGTTCTTCTATCAGACCGCATCTCCTAATCTCCTAAGCACTGATAGTATTTTGGTTTATTTTCTGCTTTTTTTGTGGATGTAATCATTTTCAAGCAACACGATTTGCGGACAAGATTGTATACTACTTGCTGCATAAAATACAGAGCGTCGTTGATATGCAGAAACTGGGAGCGATAAATGTTTTGCGACATCTTCTTAATTCAGCAGGTATTTTTCATGATTGACTCGACCCTGTTCTCTTTTTTGGATTGCGATCCATTGCATTATTCTTAATCTAAAGGTCAATATATGGAAGACAAGCGCTCACTGCTGATGATGGGGCTTCGAAAGCTGTTAGCTGCTGAGAACAATTCATCGATCAGGGTGAGTAGGTCTTTTTTCTCCGGACCTTTCACTTGACAGATATTTTTCAGATTTTGACGTTTGCTGTATGTGTAGGGCCGAATTTGTTTATTTGTGCGAAAATTCCTGAAAAGGCAGTTGAAGAGATGGGGTTCTGTATAAGACGCTTGGGACATGGGCTAGGATATATAAAGCGCATGATCTAGTATAAGCCGAGACGCAACTGCAGCGGGCGGAGCGTGCACGAAAGGCCGGGGCCTGGGGCAGGGATGTGTAACTCGGTCCTAGAGCCAGAGGCCAAGAAAGAATGCAAGGTGCGCGACCTCTAAACGAATTATTAGAAAGGATGACTCGTGATGGGCGGAACGCAAACCGGATGAGCGCTGCTCGAAAAAAGAAGTCGTAACTCAGTTTCGCAACTTGTAACTCCTAAATTGATTGCAGGTGAAAAGGGCAATTGTGCAGCTATGTGTGGCCTTATCAGATCATGCCTACGTTGATGCCGAAGGTGGCGATCATGTGACGGCATTTCTTGTACGAAATCTGGTGCCACCATCTGAGCAGGAAGTGCAGGTAGGCGAGAACCCTTCTTACATATTTAGTCCTTCACGATTGGTGTCTTCTGTACTGTTCGAATAAATCTATCCATTCTAACAGCAGGCTCGTAAAGTTGAAGTGGATGTAGCTGGTTTAAACCAACTTCGTACCCAGTGTGGTCAAGCACTCCATACGATTGCAAGCACATGTGTCTGCGCTATGGAGTACATTTCAAGAGAAGGTATTTTCAGCTATTGCTTTTGTTTGTCACATATTGTAAAATAAACTTCAGTTGCTTTGGCCGTACCTGTTCGAATTCATATGCACGGAGCGCTACTTCTCAGTTGTGGGAGATATCTGCAAATGTTTACGAACGTTAGCTACAAGAGAATTGCAAGACGGAAAAGAACTGGATTTCGAGACTGGATTCGATAACGGTTTGTGGTACAGTCGCTTTCTTTTGTGCCGTCGAGACTTATTTAATGCGATTGAACCATACAGCGCCTTGGGGGGGGGGGCCCGGCCAGGCCTCATGTACAGCCAGTGCTATCGTTTCTCTCAGACGATTTGGTAACAATTACCGTCTCGTAGGATAGAAGGGTTCAGTTGGCTCTGCCGAGAGCCAGTCTGAACCCCGGAACGCGCGCATGGTAATGGGGCCAACTTGCCTACTTTCCCGCCTCTGGCCTCCATTATGGTGAGAAGACGCATGCTAAGGTGTAATAGCTGCACATTAATGTGAGTGGTGCTTTTATCTGTCTGAGAGCAAGCGTAATGGGACTTGTCGGGTGGGCGGTGCAGGCGGACGACTTTTTGCGTCACCACTTAACTTTGCTTCTTAAAAGAGGCGGAAAAAAGATGCGTATTATAAACATCACTTTCTGGCGGCGCTCAGTCGAGCGCTGTCAGTAACCGGAAAAGAAATAACACGAGTCGAAGTAACTGAAAAACCCACCTACTATATATAACGGCGACGTCTTCTGTCTGTCTGTCTGTCTGTCTGTCTGTCTGTTTGTCTGTCTGTCCGGAAATTCGGAACTACCTGAAGAGCCAGTCTCAGGGGGCGGGTCAAGGTTGGGATGGGTAGGGCATGGGCCAAGATGTACGAAACACACGTGAACTAGGCTAAGCCCCGCCCACTGTGGGCGGCGCGTGCGCATAGTTGTGAGCTTCATATTTCAAAAATTCGTAGTTCGGTTCCAAAAAAGCCCCGAGAGCGGAGAAAAGTGGCAAACGATAGGCAATTAGTTCGTGGACGAAATGACTGAAACAAACCCATTTTGGGCGGGGCGTTCTACAGATGGGCGGTGCTTGCTTCGAGATTTTCAAAAATTCCCAGTTCGGTTCCAAAAGAGCCCCGAGAGCGGAAAAAGTGGCAAACGATAGGCAATCAGTTCGCGGACGAAATGACTGAAACAAACCCATTCTGTGCAGGGCGTTCTGTAGGTAAGCGGTGCCTGCTACGAAACTTTCAAAAATTCGTAGTTGGGTTCCAAAAAAGCTCGGAGAGTGGGAGAAGTGGCAAACGATAGGCAATCAGTTGGCGGACGGAATTAATGAAGCACACCCGTGATGGGCGGAGCGTTCGCCGAAGTGGACGATGCGAGGACGAAAACCCTCGAAACGCATCCGAAAAACCCCACGAAATGGGGAGTGAGCTGAAACTAAACAGTGGTATGGCAGATGAACATAGTGAGGGGAATAACGTAGGAGTATCCAACGATTATCCCTCACTATGTTCATCTGGGCCATTACCACTGTTATAGTATAGGGGGGGGGGGGGGGGGGGGGGGGGGGGGCGGGGGGGGGGTATAAATACTTAGAAGTGAAACGGTAAAGTGCGGTAATTCTCAAAATAATATTTCTTTCGACCATTCGACTGGCCCTCCCTCACATGGAAAACTTCTCACAGGGACCCACTTCACACCCGGAAGGAGGATCGGCCGGCGAAGCCGGCCGATCCGACTGGCCCTCCCTCTCATGGAAAACTTCTCACCGGGACCCACTTCACACCCGGAAGGAGGATCGGCCGGCGAAGCCTCCGATCCGACTGGCCTCCGTCACATGGAAACTTCTCACAGGGACCAGCACTTGCACACCGAAGGAGGATCGGCCAGGGCGAGCCGGCCGGATTCGGCGACTGGCCGCTCCTCACATTGGAAACTTCTCCAGGGACCACTTCACACCGGAAGGGAGATCGGCCGGCGAGGCCGGCGATCGCGAGCTGGTATGATACATTTCGTTTCTGAGCCTCAGACGAAGCAATCTGACCTCAGACGAACCAACATCAGTTGAAGGGTCAATTTCGAAAAAAAACGCGTCATAAAATTTTTCCGAGGCTACGCCGCGCATATTCGCTTATCTTAGAATGTACGGAATCAAGCGATCCCACGCGATGAGGCGGTTATGGACTTGATGAACTCTGTTTTAGTTCCCAAGTTCCACATTTGTCTTCTGCCTTTCGGTTGCCAAAGGTAGTATTGTCTCCCATAGCAATGCCGAGCACTAAGTTTTGATACTGGTTTGTATTAGAAATATCAAAAAGCATTCTCCCATTGTATGCTTTTTCAGCACGTGTAGCGGGCAACCATGCGGTATTAGCGCGGCTTTTCGTATGTTTATGCAATGCTCCGCTAAACGGACTTCTGGCCAGAAGAGCAAGGTAGTTATTTTTAGTTGTTTATTGTAATAAGACTCCAAATACATCAAAGTTTTCAGGGAGAGTTATGGCTTGATGCGCGTATTGGGCTCATGGTTTCATCCATCCATGCCGGAAGTATTCGAGAAATGGTCAGATCGTATGGAATCTCTTATGGATGGTGGGCGTCACTAACACATCTTTTTTGATAACATCCAGTTTATGCAACTGAGTGCGAAGCCGTGGGACTGGGTACACTACGGAGCGCTTGCATAGAAGCAATTTAACTTGATATCTTCGCAGTCCGACGAAAACGCAGCCTAGGTTGAGCTCATTAAGTGCCTAGCAATGTACGGTAGGATTGTTACGATATCAACTATAATTGTCACAACCGTGTTGCAACTAGATCTCTCCAGTCCTGCCCCTGATGCAGAGTTGCCTAAACTGGGTTGCATGTTCACTCAAAACTAACCACGTGTCCTCTGTTGTTTTACACTATCCCGTGTAACTCCCCGAGCTAAATTAAATCCTTATCCGCATGTAGCCGTTGCCCAGCTTAAAATTCATTTTCCGCCGAAATTGTCGCCATACGGAAGTAGTGATTTGTTGATAAGTAAACTGCATGCTGGGTTCAAGTGCAGGGAG